GATGAATCTCATGAAGAAGACCGTCGAAGCGTTGACCGTCCCAGAAATTCGCCTCCACAAGAAAATGTTCAGCCACTAGTGAAGCCGAACAGCAGTAGTTCTATATATAATCAACCCCGAATGGCACCTAGAATACGTCCCCCTGTTCCTAAAAATGAGCAAAGTAAGTTTGCATATAAACCTACAGCCGAAGCAGCTTCGACAAATGCGCCGCCTAAAGAAGAAAAATACGATGATTATGACTATGACTTACCACCTCAACGGCCGACACCAAAACACAAGGGAGAGACGGAGCGTCAAGCAGATCGTGAGCGTGACACACGCAGAGGGTCCCGACCGTCGCCTAATAAAAAAATTCAATATGATTTTAGCGATTACGAGGATGATCGAAGTAAGCCCGTGCGACCACAGATGAAGCCAAAGCAAGAGATACTTTCCCGAGAAAAACACAACCGCAACCGCCCAACCACCGACAGCTATGAAGATTCCGACCAAGACCACACTTCTAGAAGTAAGGAACGAAATGTCAGTTCAAAGGAGTCGAAGCATAAGAACGAAGATGTTCCCCCTACAACTGCGAAAGAATCGCCTCGTGACTACCAAGAGACTGTCAGAGTAGTTAAGAGGCCGTTTCTACCTAGTCGCGGAGGAAGTCCATTTTCGACACGTGGATTACAACCAATCGGTGCTAAAGCACTTGATATAACCAGGCACGAGGCAGCATCCACCACTGAAGAAGGACCAGGGAAGGATTATACGGTACAAAATGGTAGACAGTTTCCAGAAACGGGTCCGTCACAATCCGAAGTAAAAGAATTGCCGACAGAAGAAGAAAAGTCAGAAGAAGAAATTAAACCACCTCCTACTGTAGCCAAAGTAGCGAACCGTTTAAAATACCAAAACCCAGATGAAACGGAGAGCAAAGAAGAGCTCGCGTCCCTTCCAAACCGTCCACAGGTGCAGGTGCGCTTCAACGGCAAGCCAAAGGAATTCAGTACTCCTCCAAGAAAAAATCCATTAGATATCAACGAAAGTGAATACGATGTAACGCTAAACGACGCTTTAAACCCCACATTACCTAATTTACCAATACGTAATTATCCCACAGGTTTCAGTGCGCAGAACGATTATTACAACGACAACTACAACAGACCGAGGTACGACAATTACAACCGTTCGCCCGAAGGCCGATTTCAAGTTAGAGCGCCTAGTCAAAAAATTGAAAGTATTGCCGACCCTTACATTGGTAATCAGCCGAGGAAATATGTAGCGAATGTAGCGATACCACCAGATCCTCTTTATCAAAATTATAGGCAAAATTCGCAACTAACTCAGGCTCACGCGCATGGATATTTTCCAGTCTACTAGACAAAATTTGAGTGATCTCTAAATTAGTTAAGTAAAATTACTTCGCTCGCCCAAATGGCTGTAAGTGGTAGACATTTTCGAGAACGTGGTGATAATGTGTATACGTGCTATTTATACAACGAACGGCGAAAAAGACTGTAGGGGCTTTAAGATAAATTTTTTGTAGTTCGCTAAGTAATTTATTTGTTAATGATCTACGATTTTTTACACTCATGTTTCTAAACTGTATACTGCTGATGCTATTGTTATGTCGTTCTTAAAATTGTTACACGTTGCCTTGTGAGCGGAATGTGTGTTTAGAATTTGTAAAATATCCACCCTTTAAAAATAAATAAATTCAAAATTTTCTATTTTTTTAAGAGAGTATCAACACATACCTAGTCAAAGAGTAACTAATAATTTTGATGAAAGCATAGCAATGGATTGCCAACTTAAAGTTACAATTTGGGAAACGAAACGATAGTATATATTTGGAATATTTTCTGAGGTATTTGAGTCAAAGATCCTTTAATTTTTTAATAGGAACCCTTTTTATGTTCACTAATAAACTTCACTGGAAAATTAAAGCATGTGTTTAGTGAAATTGTTCTAAGATTTTAATTTGGAATTTGGAAAAACGACCAAAACAATCGCTAAGTTATTCTTTACACATTTTCGGTGCTAAATAATAAATAAAACGTTCTCTTGCAATTTTTTTAACGATCCCTGTGTTTTTTTTGGTTTGACTAGACTTAGACTACAAACAAGATACGAATTTACCAATTTGGTGGGGAACCTACACATGCATTGTATCTTGGCGCTAATAAGTATCCGTTTTGTGATTAAAATATACTTATACAGGACGACATTAAAAAAAATTCAAGTGGGCCATCTGTTTTACGTTTCGGCGGCATGGAGATTGCCAGTGACAACGTACATTACATACAAGTTTTTTGGTACGTCCAACACCTGACCTCTACCACCTCCATTCAGAAATTTGAAATTTAATCCTGCCATACTTGCGACGGAACATGTCCCAAAAAATGTTTACAGTGACACCATAAGCGAAGTTTTGGAGTACAACAATGCAGGAATGGGTTCATTATTTGGTCAAAATACGCGTAGTCACCAAGAAGGCATTGGAGATTTATGAAAGGCGCTCGAATAACGACCGTCACTTAAAGTTGCACTTTTTTGCTATATTTATAATTTATATATTTGAATTTAATAATACATTTGCCACCTCGGATCATTTCATATTCGCAAATTTAAATATTAAGAAGTTCAGCCAGTGAACGTGACGCAAGACGTATACATTCGTAGGCTCGTGAATGACGTACTGCGCATTATGTTGTTCAAAATTGAACAGAAATTGTGCATTTTCTAACTTAATTGTTTTCAGGCTATTTTGCGATGTTGGAATACGTTGCATTTGTGTTTAATGTTACACTAAGAACCTTCGAGCAATGCAAAATTCTTGTAGGTATTCGAAAGTACATTTATTTATAGATATATATTGTTTGGAAAAGAAGACCTGTAACCGTTAGGGCTGAAGTGGAACGTTTTTTTACAAATGCGTAATCCCTGTAAGAATCTACACCCTCAATACGAAGATTAAAAAATGAAATTTTGAGGTTCTTATATGTGACTTTTTGGAAACGGAATATCAGCCTATATGACTAAGCGGCCCAAATGAATCACTCACATAACGCTAGACTAAAATTTTCCTCTGATTTAGACTTACCTTTAGCAACGGAGGCCTTTTAGTCCTCACTTATTTATTAAGTACACGACCCGCACGATTATTTTTTTCACTATACACTATTTTACACTACAGAAATCGACGTAAAAAACGTCTTAAACGCGATCGAACCGACGCGGCAAAACAGAATGACTGCCCGTTCAGGTAAATTTCTGGTTTTAACCATTGAATTAGCATAGGTGAATCAGGCCACTAACTCTTATCGCTTCTCTTACCTTCGAGCACACTCCTTATCAATCCACATATTTTTAAAACAAACGCATAGAATTTTGATTATTTTTGTACAGACGCATTTTTGAAAAGTTATATTGATTTTTAACTCCATCCATTTGATCTACTAATTCAAACTAAACGCAAAACATTTGCATCGTCACTATTTAGTATGTACAGGCAATAAGGGTAGAACAAATTAGAGACAAGCTAATTATTTTTAGCTATCGGCTGCACTTTTCCGTCCGTCGCTCTGTCACACGTACTACTTTTGCACAAGTGATCGGATTCGGGTGATATGGGGTTGATTTTGAAAGGGCTTGGGCCAAGGATTCCGCGCGTACGATATTTTTTGTTTTTTGCATGCGCATTGTCAAAAATTGGGTTTAGCGCATGTGCATTTGTGCAATGCTAACTTTTTTTATTTATGAAGGTATTTAAATGCAATTTTATATGTAAACACTACACTACAAATACAAGTAAAACTAGCAACGTTTTCCAAATATTGTCGTACGCATGCGCAGTGCCAACTTTTTTATTTAAAAGCATTTAAATGAAATTTGATTCCTAGGCATTTGGAATAAAAGCAAATATAATGCAAGTTTCAAAATTTGGTTTTGCGCAGGCGCATTTACCAAAGCATTTAAATTAGAGACATTTCCTTATATTTGTATACGCTATTAGGAGGAAAATACACTCTAGTCATTTATGTTTACATAATGACTTTTTAACTTGTTTTAATGTTTAGACCAATAACTTATTTACATATTTATGTATTTACCAAAGAGTTAGTAGGTACGTTATAGATGTTGTCTGTGGTTATAGTTATGTCTCACTAACATAATATCATAGCACATTTCATGTGTGATACGCGGGCATAAAGTACCACTTTATGGCCGCCCCACTTTAAGTGGCACTTTATGCCCTAGAGCATTAAGTATCACCATAGTAACTTATTTATACTAGATGGCAAAAGCCATCACACAACTTTCACACAATTGCTGAAGCTTTGCACCATTTATTTGGAGATCGGTGGACAGCAACTAATGGGCCAGTTCGATGGCTACCTCGTGAACCCATCTGAATTTCTTTCTTTGGAGCTGTGTAAAAAAGAACTTTATAACCGCAATGCAACGTCATAAATTTAGAAAATAATATTAGTCGAACAATTAATTCAATTGGCTCTCAAATGGTAGCCAAATCTTCCAATTCAGTGTTAAAAATATCATTTTCTAAGGAGATTGCATCCATGCTTGATTTCAAAAAATAAACTGAAAGGCTGCTTTCAAAGAGCATGAGCCCAAAAACTCCATTAGTGGAAGTTTGATAGAGATAGACCATAAAACTGGATGCACTTGGAACTTATACGTAAAGTATACACCTCTTATTATTTTACATGTTAAAATCGTTTCAAGAAATAATATTTATACATAAAACCACATAGGTACCTAAACTTAAACAAAAACTTTGGAATTTCTTTTGATTGTATTTTAAACTTCGCAAGAACCAGTTCTAAATATTCCGGTTATGGCTTTTCTGTTTTGTGTTGCTACTTTTACCGAGGGTACCTACTCTTTTTTGACTTCTAAGTAAATACATTGCATTTTAAGCGTGTATTGTGCGTTGCCTAAAACATCGTAACCTTAGGAATGCGTTTGGCAACAGCGCTGCGCCATCTACTTCTGTTTTTGTATTAACTGGTGCAGCAGAAATGGTGGATGTAGGTTAAACAAAAACAAATATTTTTATGCTCTGCTTTAACGTAAAGAATAAATGGATTTTGCTAGACGACAACTTGAGAAATATGGGTGGAAAGAAGGTATTGACAAAGTTTGGGTTAACTTTTGATAAACAATTTTTTTGTGCTAGGAAATGGTTTAGGTAAACACTCCATTGGTATCAAAACTGCCTTAAAGCCAGCTTTAAAGTTTGACAATGCAGGGGTTGGATTTAACGCCTCTGAAGGGTATACCAATAATTGGTGGGAAAAACTGTATAATGAGACTGCCAGTAACATTAATGTAATATATCCGATACCCAGCCATGTCTATCTTGAGATGTTAAATGTTACGTTTTAGGTAACCAATAGTGACAACAATGGAAACACTCAAATCTCTACAAAGAAAAGTACGCCTACACATACCTTAACTAGTTCAGAATACAAGTCTTTCATAAAAACATCCAAGTTGACTGAGAATGGAATTGTCAATTTTGCGGACACATCTACTGAGGCAGCTCCTGTCAGTTCGACACCTTGCTTAAAAGATGAAGATTTATTTGCTGCTTGCGGGGGACGTACTGCTCATAAGTAAGCTTATCAATATACTTTAATTTGTTTTTAGAACAGTCTTCATTTTAGAGGGGCTCGGCATGGCTGCAAGTTGAGTGGGAAATTATCACGTTTAGAAATGCAAGAAAAGATATTGCTGAAGAAATTAAACAATGTTAGTATATCAGACAATAACGACAACTGTAATAAGAAAGTAATCGAGAAAAAACTCAAAAAGATCGAATACCACAAAAATAAAAACAGATTGGAGGATGCAATGGAAATAGCGCCCCCAACCAGTCCATGCATATTCATCGGCAACAGCCCATACAAAGGCAATAAGAAACGCAAAGGTGAACGTAAGAACGTTTCCTTTAGCGACACTGTTGTCGAATTTCACACCCAAGAATCGAACGAACCTGAAACCTCCAAACAGAAACCCACAGATGAAGCCATGTCACGTCCACCATCACCCATTGTCACTATCCGCCAATTGAAATTGGGAAACACAAAGGATTCATCGCCTCTTAGAGCAGATAACGAATTAGATGAAGGTATTGACTGCAACGACTACAGCTCTTCGAAATGTGAAAGTAAATGCGATCTACAAGAAAAAATCCGCAGAGACAACAGACGCATGAAGCGCAAATTGAAGAAACTGCGAAAATTAAATAACCCCGTCGTTTTTAATGTCTCTCTCGACTTGGACAATGGAAACCATCATGTATCAGAGAAAAGTGAATTGGTCAAGCGTAAATTATTCGACTCTTCCGACATGTACATATATAAAAAGGCAAAACGATCGAACTTAGATGGTTGCCAGAAACTTACTACGGAATTAGAGTTACCATGTAAGCAACAGAGTGAAGTAGAAGACAATATTGACACTGTCACAACTTCTTTTGATAATGTCTGTAAAATTTAGTGGGATATGGGGAAATGTGTGTTATTACTTTTCTATTTTTTTCCTTTTTATATTTACGTTAAAACAAGTACTGAGTGTCTTCTGTAGTTGCTTTTGTATTGCAAATATAATACTATTTACGTTAGTTGTGGTAGAATTGTTATTACGTGTATTTTAGGGTTAGAGATACTGTTATAAAATATTTTCGTGGATTCTTTTGTTTTTGTTTCTAGCATTTTGTGCTGGTTTTGCATTTTTCACAAGTCAACTTTTCGTGATTCTTAGGGATCACGCGCGAATTTAAATCAAAGTATGGGAAAAAAGCGCCCAAGGTCCTAAGAGTCCAAAAAAGTGGTTTTTGGAAAATGTCTGTGTACCTGTGTGCGGCATGATTCTTAACTAATTATAATTAAATAAGCAAGCAAAAAAATTTTTTTCACTACTAGCGTCTGATGGCATGATTATTAACCCTTTTTCCACTTGTAAAGTAGGCTTTCTCGGCATTTGTTCAAAGTGGTTAATAATGTGGACATTATTAACTAGTAGTCAATAATGAGAACTGTCACGCTGTCACTTTTAGAAATCACAACCTGAAATTTCGCCAGTGTCCAGCTCACAATGCATAAAACAATCCCAATCGCCCCCGTTATGTATTTGCACAATCAATAGGTGTGGGTGATGCAGAATAATAAACAAGTACTGGGTACTCCCGAAAAGTTTATTCAATAGTGAACTACTACAATATGTAAGTATATAACGTTGTTTTATATCCATAACAGTAATTTTCATAAATTTTACAAATAAATTGTTTTTTGTTGCTATTTTTTATTGCTATTATATTAGATTTTTAGTGCCATACCTACGAGGTCTGTAAATTAAGTAATGAGACTGGTGGTGGTGCTATAAACTTTTATTTAATTATCAATTCAATCTTCTCTTCTTCAAAATAGTTCCCTTGGGACGCCACACAGCATTGGAGACGATTCTTCCGCTCCTCGCAGCAGTGCTGGAACTCGCATTTTGCAATAATCTTCAGCTGGTCGATTACCGCCCTTTGAATGTTTTCCAATGTACCAAAATAACATTTTTTGGGAGAGAAAAAAGTCAGAAGGACTTGAGTCAGACGAGTGAGGAGGTTACGAAGGACACCTTAAAAATGATTAGAAGCTATAAAAGAAGGTTGGAGGGAAGGCCTTACATATCAAGAATACCAAGTTAATTTTGTGGTACAGGAAGAACAAAGACGAAAATTGAGTATACAGGGCGCGGTTGAAAAGTAAGGTGTGCTGAAATCGATTATTTTGAACATATAAGACACAGGGCGCCCTAACCCTTTAAGTGATGAAGAAGAAATATTTTTGATTGATGGAATAAAAAATGATCACCCATAGAAGGTTTAGGGACGGAAATATTCCTGGAAAGAAATGGACGGGAAATTGTATTTCACGAAATAAAGGGGAGGTTTCTGTAAGGCTGTCTGAAAACATTAAGAGGGCCCGAACGGCAGTAAATCATGAAATGATAAATAATTTTAAGTTTGTATTTGCTGGCTAATAAATGTATTTAGTATTTTATACCGATATGAATTCCTTTTTTTCCAGTTGTACAAGAAAAACCATTAGATATATTATTTGTTTCATCTCCCATTTTGTTCCCATCCTGAAAAAAACTTTAAAACTCGTTGGAAATTACCACATCTGATGGTACTTTAAATAGTAGTGGATAGATAATAACATATATTACAAATCGATTACATACCTATTAATTATCCCTTTTTGAATACTGTTTTATCATATAAAAAAATAACCTCCCACAAGACATTTTTAAATTTCTTAAAAAATGTCAGAATAGCAGCATTTGCTATGGAAAATGAGGTGAGGTGACTGAATAAGGTGACTGAATCTTATTATTATTAATGATTTACTAAAATGTAGATTATATAGATAATAAAATACTCGAAATTTGGCCAGCATTTAATAAAGCTATATATTTACAATACATTATACGTATAACTTGTTAATTTTTGTTCATTACCTTGATATGATATTTAATCAACTTTTACTAATTACTTCTAGATATGGCACTCAAACATGAGTATTTACATAATAGATGAGCAATTTTATAATCACAATGGTTATCAAACATGGAAGTCTCAAGCACAAACCCATTCCCCGCTAAAATAACATTCCCGCTTTGATTATGGTAGAACATATTCACTACAAAAATTTTTATTCAAATGAAACCGCCCATTGTAGGGTACCATTAAGTTAATGTTGAGATCTGCAATTTTTGGACAGTCTTACAAAAATATTAGCAAATTACACTAACAATGGAAGATCAAAGTATCTATTATCTATTAAATTGCAAAATTGTGCCACAATAGATAGGTGTGTGCTACACGTATTTATATGCACTATTCTTACCAGGAAAAATAAGCCAATCACCATTTCTTTATAACAAGAACAATAATTTCTATTTGGTGCTGCAAACTTAATGACGTGAAAGGTTACCAGTTACCACTTCCGCTTGTTGAAATTTTTGCAGTAATGGTTTCCGCTTAATCAATCAAAATCAGAGTTATTTAAATGTGACACAATACAAGAGCAATAAGTTTTACTCGTCGACATGCAGTAAATTGTGATAATAGATAGCAACTATAGCATTCCTAATGAAAGCAAAAGCTTCTGTAAAGATAAGAACAAACCTCTTTTTTTCAAAGGGTGAACCTACTTTGAAAAAAAAGCCATGTTGCGTCATTTGAACAAATCAAGAAGTCAAGATTTGTTTCGACAGGATTGTCTGCATGAAAGAATGGTGTATTTATTAAACGTGTAGAGTTAAGCTATGTACAACAAACACAACACAGGCCGATGCTAATTTGAAAAAAGCATATCCTTTACATCTAAATCGTTTAAGTGGAAAATTCTACAAAAGTCATGCTTTAACAAAGGTAATACTACAAAATGGAATGTTAGTAAGAGGAGAGCAATTCTGTTTTCTTTTGATGAAAAGAACTTACTTATTTATATATTTAATTTAATGTTATAAAAAATAAAAGATACAAACTGCTCAAAAGGTCTAATCTAACAGTATAGGATAATTTGTGGTGCTTCTAATGAGACCAAGATGACAGGAACTTTTACATAAAAATATCAGTGTATTTTATAAACAATCACAGCTAGCAGTTATGGTTAATCAACATAAATACCATCCACCATGATTTTAACAACAAACACACAAAATATACAAATTAAATTCCACTGGGATTCACGTTAGTACTTGATAATTTTAGTTTTGGGATTAGTGTACTACTCTTCTTACGTTCATCTGGAAAAAGAGTTCGGTTATTAGCTGTTAAAATAAAAACATTTTTTAAAAATCTTCTGAAGACAAACATATTTTTATAAATCTAAACTTCATCTGGGAAATTAGTTATAGCTTAGTCTAAATTATTGCTTATTTGTACCAGGTGGCCACATAAGAATGGAAGAGGCTGTATCTAGGAATATACTAAAATGTGACCACCAGATAACGCTTTAGAATAGCGTTATGTGGTGATTGGTTTAATCGAATTAGTAAATTTTGATATGGTTACAATAATACTGCCACAATTATGTCCAGGAAGATAAATTCATCACCTTGGTTTCCCAGTTAATTTCTACTAATCCAATGTATGTGGTCAAAACATGGCGGATCTCCGAACTACAAATAGATGGCCACATGTCTCTATAGTTACTGTAGCATTATGTACAGTGACTCTGTAGAGACAGTATTGCCATACAGAAGCGTTATTTCCTATTGGTACTTAGCAGATCCGCCATGTTTGAATCAAGTACAATGGATTGGTAAAAATTAATACGGAACCCAAGGTTGTAGCAAAAATATTGTAACCATATACCAATTAGGTTAAACCAATCAGCTTAATAATAAATTTGTAAAAAAAAAACATGACTGACAGAGAGGATACAGCCACACTGTATTCATACACTGTAGCGATCTTCAGAAATTTAATTGGTATTTAAATATATGACAGCCCTCAATACTTAAATATCAAAAACACAGAATGCTTTCCCCTGACTTATAAAAGGAACCTAACAAAAAGCATGGCTTATTTTCATAATTATTGAATGCAGTACTGTGGGTTTATCATTACCTTCTATTTTTAAGAGTTTACAAGCATCTTCTAAATTGCCTTTGTGTACGCGATAATGTAAAAACCTCATTTCCGTAGGGGAATTATAATGGCTTGTTATTAATGTTTTGTACTTGCATGGATTAAATTTGATTTTATTGTTATTAAATTGGTTGTTCATTTCGGGTATGATTCCAGCTGCCTTCGCACATAACCCTAAAAAACAATCTGGTTACGTGACGTTAGTGGAGGTTACAAAACCACTTTCCGAGAAAAGGAATATGTTTATAAAAAGTCTGAAATAATAATAAAGTAAGCGGTCTTTTAAAATGTTCAGAAAATTTTATTAAATATGTGAGAAGAGTTTGGAAAAATGTAAAAAAATTTTGGTAATCTCTTGAAAATCTCAAATGTTGGAAATGCGAACAGTGAAATGGAAAATGTTTTAAATTGGAGTAGGAAATTTGGAAAATGTGTAGGTTATTTTTAAGATATGTGTGTTATAATTTTGGAAATGTCTAAAAACTGAAATAACATGGTAAATGGTATCTCCCACAGGTTACCTACCTGTTACATACACATCTTCAAGATAAACTAATGGAATGGTTAACGCTGTTTCAAATAATTTTACAGCAATGTCTGTTGTCATTACGTAAGCTGTCCCAGAAAGATAGTTCGGGTAGATTGCTTTACTATACATATCCTTCGGCATAAACCTAAAAACCAAAATTAATTATGGACTTAAAGTACGTAGCCAAACCATTTTTCATAGTAATCCCGTATTGGGCGAGATCGACAAATTAACTTGCCAAACATGGTAGACTTCCTTCTTACATTCTTCAAAGCTTGAATTAAATTATTCATATTTACAAACGTGTCATCGTCGACTTTCATAACAAATTTCACTCTATCCTTACACTCCAACTTGACTAGCTTCAGTAACATTAACGATTTTATAGTTAAATTGTTGTAGGTATCCACGAAATTGTCTACAACAATATCTTGATAGAGATCACTTTCGATGTTGATAAATTCCTTTAAAATATCATAGTAAAATAAACGCACGAATACGGTTAAGATTACCTGTATGGTGGTATTATGAGTTTTACCAAGTAAAAAATACATTTTGGTTTCCGATGTGTTCTTCAAAAGGCCCCATGTTTCTCTAACGGCAATGCGTTGGTCGAAATTAGGTGGAGAGGAGCAAACTATAATCATTAAATAGGTCTGCGATGGGCATAAGTGTCTTGGTTTCATCAATAGGGTGGAGTAAGCAGGGTTGACATAGTGGGATGCATCTCGTGAGGTCGTTTTAGTCCATCCTTCTATTGTAGCTATAAAAACAATAAAGACAGCCGTGCTTTGTAATTGTAAATCCTAGCAACTCATTTTTAGCAACCTATAAGAGACGAGGGTATTCAGTTTAGGTACTTAGTAATACGGACAATCCTTCATTGTATTTGCACCAATAAATATTTTTTGGGGTCATTTCATCGAAGATGGTTTTGTAGTAAGGGGTAAATGTCCTTAAAACTACAGGATGTCACAGTTTCTACACTTTTAGTGCTTTAGTGTTATCACAGATTTAAATATACTATTTAAATCTGTCGTGCTAACAAAAAACTATTTAGGTGTCATGTGCTCTTTTTGAATCAAACTTAATATTGTAAAATATAAATTTGAAAATTTTCTGCACTTAAATAAAAAAGTCTCAAATTTAGAATGACCGTATATTTTCTTCATTCAAGGAGATACAGCAAAATGTTTTATACAGAAGTTTCTTTGTAATGATTGTTGAATAATGTTCCGTTTTAAGGATAAGTATACGAAGCCAAGCAAAAAAGTTATTGGATTTAAATTCATTTTCCTTGAAACTCCCTGTATATTTTAATCTAAAATTAAATTCCTTTTGAAAATATAAGTAACACACCATGGATGGGAATAAAACCAAATGTAAGTGATTCAAAATCATAAAGTAAATAAAAATTGAAGAAGATTAAAAATAAGTTTGTAACCTTTTTGAATTTTGTTTTTTTTGAGTTTTTCTTTTTTGTGTGTGAAGGTCAGTAACTTTTTACCTAATCCAGTAAGTAACGATACTTTTGTATAAAACCGTATTCTATGTCTTAACTACTTTCTTATTTCTTATGGACGCTATATTGAATTTATACAGGATTTTTCTTCTAAATTTATGTAAAAATATAATGTGACACGTCATTATTTTTCTTTTTTTGTTCTTTATTGCCTTCCGTAATAATCCAATATGGCGTCCATAAGAAAGTAGTAGAGCCGGTAGCTTCTACATGATCTACATCTAGAGTGTTATGAAAATTCTGATAACAGATTCAGATTCTCCGAAAAAAGTGTCCATAGAAGATACTAACAGCAACAGGAACTCTGTCTACTTTCGATCATTTAGGCTAAGGAAAATCGAAAACGAAATTTGACAGTTTTTCGGTCATATCTCAGTTATTTTTAAAGATTTTTCAAAAATTTCAAAAGCGTTTTTTAGACACAAAAAGGGACACCAGGGATCTACCATTACGGAGATCCCAATGGTGTACCACAGATTTGAACCACCCGGTTCAATCGCGAGTGCTGGTTGAACAACAAAAATGGTCCACATAAAATTCGGTTGATTGGTTAAATATTTTTATACCTGACATTGCCTAGAAAAATGTGCTTATCAAGGAATTAGAAGAAAAAAGTCAATATCGTATAACTCTTAAGAGATTTTTCCTCACTTGGAGACATCAAGATTGGTAACATTACACTACATGTGTGCCATGGAGCTCAAATCAATAAAGCTGCCATAAACCTCCACGAAAAAGGTCCACCAAGGGTACACTATTTTATTCCAAAGCCTTTAATATTAAGCAACATATGAATGAAAACTCCCTCACTCCCGGTGGGTGGAGCACATGTGACATGTGCCTCTACAGATAAAGCAAAAGTCTAAAACTATTATGAATATCCCGAGGAATATCCATTAAATATACTTTTCTAGTTGGCACAGTATAATCAATAATCAAACTGGGCTAGCTACATTGTTTCAAATCTACAGTGCTCACTACACAGAATAAGGGTACAGAATGATCAGTACGATGTAAAAGCTTCTAGTTCAGAGTTACATTAAGATCTGTGCTAAAATTGACTTACTAGGTTTTACCTTTTCTCTTGGAGGCGCCTCTAGTTCCTGCAACATACCCATGCGCTCCTCATATATGTATAACACCAGCAGTAGAAATCCACAAACGAGGAATGTAATGAACAGCCACCTTCTAGCTCGATGTCGATGCATTCCTTGAATTAAAGTTATAACTTGTTCCTGAAATCAAATCGGGTAATTTTAAAAGAATATTTTGTTCCGTAGGTAATTACCACTATTATTGTATGTACACATACTTAGAGACGGATTTAAAATATCACACTTTCATCATACTTTGAGGTTAGTTTGAGGGATTTTGCAATATATGCCGGCATTTCTTCCCTCCATGCGTCAAGTTCAAGGTTATACAGATACATATTGTTACTTTAAATTTTAGAAATCTAGCTAAAAACTACCCTTATCCTAATTCACAGTGAGAAGAGGGTTCTTCATTTCGATTCAAAAGTTCACTTTCGCTTTTAATTTAAGGTTAACTGGCACCATCTGCAGGTGAAAGTGTAGGACTCGTAAAATACAGGGTAACTATTTATTAGGTACGTCAACGTAAAGAAGTCAACGTAAGAATTAAATGTAGATGATCGTGCTTTATTTTTCTGCATACAAATTTGTAAAGGTTCCTCTCTGTAGTCCAATCCGCCATATGTCAAAAAACAGCCAAATGTTCTGACGATTTCATTCAATTCATTCACACATTCAATTCAATTTCCATTCAAACGCATGTTTGGACTGACGTGGAAATAGGGGAGTGTTCGTTGAGGTATTAAAATGAAAGATTTGATAAAATATTAAATCCGGAAAATAGAGACTGAAAATGGACCATTTCCTGCAAAACGAGAAGTAGTTCCAATTTTTTTTGCATGGAGGAATATGTGGTGGTTAAGAATCCAAGTATTCGACTTCCCACCCCTTGAGCTTCCCCAGTACCACTCCTAAAACCAAAAAAATTTAAGTGGTTTTTTGGTTTTTCAATCATATCTTTTTATAGGTTCAGTTTACAAAAAATATTGTTATTAGAAATTGTAGACCATCAAATTTTACACAAATTTGTCATATACTTCTTTTTCGTAAATTTTTTTATTCCAAAAGATACAGAACTTCAAAATTGTCTTTATTTTGAAGATTCCGAAATTTCTATGTATGCACATATTTTAACGAAATTGTATGTTATCTCTATAATCATAACATTTATATGAGAAAATACCTCGATTATGAAGCTATGGTGCTATTAATTTCGGTACCCTGCACCCCTATCAAAGGGGATGATAGCACTTCAAGCCCTTGGTCGTAGTAGGTATTTGAATCACTGTATGATTATGGCGCTTCGAATACAATTATCAAATAAGAAAAGTGGGTCTTAAGCGTTGTACTTTCTGACTAATCAATCACTGCAAGGGGGTTAATTCATTCCCTTCCGGGGAAGGGGGGGGGGAAGGGGGGGAGCTGAACTGAAGTGAAACATTTTTTTTAAATTTCAAACGTATATTAGAAAGCGCTACAATCTCACAGTGATTCAAATATCCCCACTAGCAAGGGTTGAAAGTTGAATTATTATGCATCCCCTTTGGTAAGTGTGCAGGGTAGGGAGATTTATACCACGATAAATTCAAGATATTTTTTTAAACTCTTAATTATAGCAAAGAATTATAGAGATAAAGTATAAAATTTGGTTAAAACATCTACATAGAAATTTCAGAATTCTTAAAAATATAAGCAACTAAGAAACTAAGAAACCAACCAAATTTCAAGGGTTTTGGGGGTGGTACGGGGGAAGCACAAAGGGTGGAAGGTCGAAAACTTAGATTCTGAACCACCAGATGACTGTCTATGACATTCAAAAGAAATTGGAACTACTTCTCATTTTGCAAGTTAAAACCCCCTATTCCCTGGATTAATTCCTTATAGCGATCGTATGTTTTGTTTACTAAAAGTAAAACATGGTTCTAGTAATTTGGAAAATTTAATGTCCTGAAACTTCTGCATTACATTTTTCTGATCCTTCCTGACGCATTCAGTGTCTCTCGGTGCATTTCCCAACCGCCGCGCCGTTACAAAAAATGTACACCTATAATAGAAATTTCAGTTTTTTCGGGTTATCTTCAAAATTGTTGGAAAATTCTTCACTTTCTAAGAACGCTGGATTTGGGCCCAAAATGTGTAACTATGCTTCCATTTAACAGACTTCTATCTTTTACGATTTGTGGTGTTTCGACTAAAAATTGCACCTGTTACTCAGTTTTCGAAAAATTAACCAAAGAATGGAGCGGTGTGCTTAAAAATGGGGTTCTGTGAGCTATTATTTCTCTATCAATACCTAATTCTATCTCTTGTACCTACTTGTGCTTTTCGTAGTGAGCATATCGCGCAGATGATTTATTGAGGAACAATTAATATAAAAAGGAACTTACTTATCAGTTTAATCGACGAAGACAAGTAGATGGTGTGGTGCTGGTGGAATTTTGCATCGACGATCAACCGATGATGAAAGACGATGAAAATGATAATTTTATTAATAGCTGACGATGAAAAGTTGTTGGCTGGTTGATGTTCGCTTTCTTTGTTAACGACGAACGAATCTCTCGAATCCTTTTTCTCTTGGTGCATGTTTTGTTTGAAATAAGTGGGGAACGGAAAACGGGCGGTAACGAGAGAAGTAAGTAAATATGGAAAACAAAATATTAGGGGAAAATTATCTTACAACGGACGCAAACAACGAAACATGCATGGGATGAAATCGGTACAAAAATGGGACAAGATAGCAAAACAAACCAAAAAATTAATTATAGAGATATTAAGGAAGGGCAAAAGCTAGAATATCGAAATCGTTAAAAACAACAATCGACAACTAACATCAAAAGCCAATCTGATCATGACACGGTAGAAAAAATATTCAACGGAAATGGACAACAAAACATAGACGATGAAATATGCATTAGAACAGAGGAAAGCGGCACAGAAGAGAGAAAACATAAAACTGTAAGAAATAGAAGAGGTCTAGTAGAAAACAGAAAAAAAACGGTCGTGGAGGATGACGGGATAGCAACGGACAAGAAGTGCTTATAAAAGCGTGTAATAAGCCAGGAATAGCGAGCAGGTAAGTAAGAAAGTAAGAATCATTATAGGTATATTCTCTTACCTAGGGAGGTCCTAAAATATGCGCAAACTGCAGGGGGATTAGGTACATGGTTGAGATCGTTTTAAAAGTATATGAAAACAGGTGGGAATAATGGCAGTAAAAGGACAAAATCACGTTTTTAGTGTACAGCAATTTGGGAAAAGTTTCAGCAAGAGAAGATGTGGCAGAAACTTTTGAAATGGTGCTACAGAAAACAGTATGGGAACCTGGGAATCATGAGTTTGTACGGAAATAATAGGAGTTATTTTATAGGAGCGTATAATAGACGAGGACATAAGGAAACAACATGTATCAAAATGCGGTTTTCGGCACATCAGTGTTCAGAAAAATACAAAGAAAAATATTGTACAATACTGGATTAACCATTTTTTGAAACCTACGTAAGGAGTGCAAATCTGGGTATTTGGGTATTATTGCATTATTATATGCAAAATTATAAACATATATGAAAAGCTGCAGAAATGATGGTTTGAAAAATTAACCGTGTTGAGAAATTGATCGGAAATCGTTTGTCGGTGATTTTCGCGGTCGCCGAGTCTAGATTTGCCCTCGATCAGGACCGTAAAAGCCCCCGAGTAAGGATTTTCGAGCAATTTCTCGCCACGGTTAGTTTTGCACTTCACCCCCCGTAATAACACCCCTGAGCATCTCCGTGAAATTTAAAGGAATGATAATCTATAAGTGTAATGATCTAATAAGATACACGTACCATCAGGTTAACCAATCCCATTCCTATAGCATCCAACACGCGCCATACGTAACGCAAAGGGACGCCGAATATTTGTGATATGTTACCCATTCCCAACGTGGTGGGGGCATTGCTTTTTGCGTTTTCTTTTTCTCGAATACTATATCCATAGACCAAATTGTTAATTGGTCTATGCTATAACAAATAGTACCTACCTACCTATACGTAATGAATTTTGCAAAGTGTATTGATCCCAAGTCACACATCCATTGATACAGATTTAGAAAATAGAGGAATCGGACCGGTTAGCAAAGTTGGGGAAGATTTCACGTACGCGAGACTTTTCACTGACAGAAAAAATCGTAAAATTGACAAAGTGTCATCACTTGTACTGCAACAACATCAAAATGTGTAATCAAGAGTGCGCTATGCGTACTTCATTTGCCTACTGTGTCCGAGTCCGTAGAATTCAAGCTTCCGTACCTTCAACCCCGAGGAGCAGGAACGATTTCTTTATTACCTCGTGGCCAAGGACTGGTCTTGTGATAAAATTAGTTATGAAGATTTTTGGAATGCGCCACAGCACTTGAACAACAACCACAAATTCATGGCGTTTCCATGCAAATCGGATGTGTCCTTGATAAGTGGACTGGCCAATATGCTGTAGGTGGTATTCCAGGGCGCATCGGGGTAGAAATATTAGTCTATTGCCTCCAAAGGAATCCCGCAATCTTTCCGGGAAACATGACTTAATTTGTTCTAAGCATTAGACAAGACTTGCGACCACTCGCGAACATCGAGACTATATAGGCAAATCGAATTGCGTTTCAGGGCAGTTCCAATTTCAACACCGAAGTAATAAATAGGTAGTTCATGCTGTTATAAATTGTGTATATGTTACTGATACATAATATTTTCACCGTTATAAATCAATTCAATTTAAGAGTGATATCAATTTATTGGTAATTAATTGTAAATAAATAGGGCAGGTAATTAAATTTACGTTATACTCTTTTTCTTCATTACAATGTCGCAATCTATTAAACGTCGGTTTGTAAATATTGTCGCAAATTTTTATTACCCTCCTTAGTTCGTTTCGCCTTTATTGTCTTAGCAATAAAACGTTAGGTAATTCGTGAATCTATAAAATGGAATTTGGAAGTGAAATAAAAGTGTCCCAACGAGAAAAAGTGCGCTACGTGACGTAATAATTCCACTGGAAACAAAAGGGAGTATTTAATTTATTTTCGAACCTTTTTAGATTAAAGTATCAGCCTGAAAGAAATTGTATTCGTAAACGAATGAACCCATAACTCGAATAAATTTATACCTACCCTTCGGTGTTAAATAGTGTTGAGGGCTATTGGGCCGAAGCAAGGAATAATAACAATTTTCACACACTGCATGCATATATTTAATAAGCACAGAAACAAAAATGAAACTGAACTACAGGTAAGTATAGTATAAAGGCAAAATATACCTACATAAGGACGTGCTATGCAATCGTTTTGTTATCTACACACACATCTCATTCCCGCGACGTCTACAATGACATTCCGCATTTACACGCCGCCTTCGAAGCGTGGTGGGACGTAGGGTATTCCATAACGCTCTTATACACTGAAAGTCCCCTTGAGACGATGGTGTTCTATTGACTATTGACAACGTGTGCTATGTCGGGTCTATAGTACATAGGTATAGACAGGCAAGAAGCGCTCCGATGAGCTCTCTGGAGGGAAGAGTAGTATCAGATCACTGATGGATTTCACCAATTTTGTGCTAGGATGAAGAGGTAGGTTTTGCATTTGCTATACCAAACTTGTTCAGAAGTTCCATGGTGTAACCCTTTTGGTTAACAAAGATGATATCGTCAGTGGTTGCAGTGAATTGCATTTCTAATTGTGCCAATGTGTTTTCTGTCAAAACTTTTGTGCAAAGTTAATTATGAAGTTTTTATCCGCCGAAGATAGGTATATGGACTGATCGATATTTATAGACATAAGGATCCGAATCGCCCCAAGTGACTGCAGACCCGAATTCAGAGTAGTGAATCAACTGCGGCCAGATTGCTTCAGACCATACCAAGATTTCTTAAGCCTGCACACGGCATTTTTACGCTCTACTTCTTCATATCATGTATATCTTTATTCTTTTGAGGTCTTCCCCTTGTGCCTGTTCGCAGAATTGGAGGTCTCCTAAGTAGTCTATCCGGTGAAGACTCCTTATCCCCAGATGAAAGGGTTGGACTTATCTCGGGATCTTCCGGTTCATGCCATTCGACCCATAATAAGCGATTCTCGTCCAAAGTAGGTAATGCATGTCCTCCGGTTTCGATTTCTGTAACGTTTTTGGCACTTTGGCATTTTTTGCGACAGTTTTTCACAATGTGACTATAACAGCATATGACTTGTTGGAACTGTTCTGTGAGTAATTGTTCCGAATATCGTGAGTCGCGGACGACGGACAGACGGCGTATTTGAATTCGACGAACCCTTCACATTTGTTTTTCGCGATTTATCAAAATGTTTGGACACAATTAATGCTTTAGATGCCTGTTCACACCCCTCGTATTTACGCGCTTTGTATTTTTCAACAATTTTAACACGCAAAACTTCGGGTTTTCGTAAATCATCGCGTGATTCTATCGCGTCCCTGCAGTTTAAGAAGGACGGCGGCAAACTGTATAGGTAATAGCATAATTGTTAACAAATCGCCATTAATATCTACTTACTTTCAACTAATCCAATTTGTCCATATCGAAGGAATGGCGAAGGTATAGGTGAACAGATCTTCTCCTTTCATCAACCGTCCTGTCCCAACAGGGGCCCTTAAATTGATAAATATTGTGCAGTTCAACAGACCTACGTCGCGTGTGATGCCTCACATCCCTTGATTTGTTTCAGCTCACTTGGAGGAATCGATAATATAATATCCGATTCTGCTTTTGAATTATTATTCTTCCAAGTCCTAATGGCGGCTAGATTGTCATCATCCGGTGCTGAGCATTTATTTATATACCTATTTAATAAGCACAGAAACGAAAATGAAACTGAACTACAGGCAAGTACCTACCTATATTACCTATAATGGAAAAATACATACCTTGCTACCCGATCGCTTTATTACATCTCATCCCTCGAAGGCTGCAATGACCTTCCGCATGTGTGGCAGCGCGGTGGGACGTATGGTATCATTGTATTTAATCTGTGATATCAGATAACGCTCATACAATTTACAAATAGAACTTCTTTCTTCGTATAATCAGCTATAATGCATAATTTGGCAGCATCCTCCACCGTAGGAAATACATAATGTAGACGAGTGCGTGAACGTAACAAGAAAACCGAATTCCTAAAGCCGTACAAAAAATAAAACGGTCAATTTTAGGGAAACGTGAGAGAACTCTAGATTGCAAAAATCATTAATTAAGTTTAGTTACCCCCTTAGTCTTTTTAAAGCATTTTACCCTCTTAAAACTGTCTTAAAAGCGAAAGAATGTTCAATTAGATGCTCTTTAATTTGTCTTTCCACTCTTGTCATTCAAGTCTCTATTTAATTAAAACTTTCTTTTTAGATAACTAATTATTGAAGGATGAGAGTCTAGTCGAAGACATTTATAAAGATGGGTTGTGTCTGAAAAAATGTCTACATTTTATCATAGAGGAAAATTTCCTCTGATTTTATTTAAAAAAACAGATTTCCATATTATTAAATTGGTCAAACTCTTAGACTTCGGTCAGCACTTCATAGATGGCCATACCTACTAGTAAGAATCAGATTTCAAATTGCATATTGCCTTTGCTAAACTATCCCTATACAAACTATAAATTACTGATTCAGGTTACCGGCAACGTATAGAAACTTGTCATTTAAATATATACTTACCTACAGTTCTTGAATTTGAGTTTTTACCATTAAAGCGTCATTTTTTCAATCGCAATGATGTACCTATACCAATTATTGCAGGAAATTTCTGCAGCAATATGACTAATCAAAGTTTGGCTGCTAGAAAAATTCAAAGAATATTGTTCCCAAACAAACGAAGAGTCAAACATTTTCGGAGCTAAGGACGCTTACCTACAAGTCCTAACATTTGCATTTCTTCGCTAATACAACAAATACTAACTTTCGCTGCAAGAACACTCGAACTTGGGTCCTAATCAAAAATAACCGTTCGGCGGATTCGCGGATTTAAATGGGCTTTGTATGAAATGAAATCTCATTCATTCTAAGGTAATTAAAAAAAATTATCTTGATCGGAAAACAATTTAAAGTTAAAAATTGCTTGTTTTTTTTAGTTTACCTTGCAACTAACTTTATAGAGAAAAATGGCATCAAATTTTAGTACCTATATTTTGAACTTTTCATAATTCATTTTTGTCGTTCCGAAAGGAAAGGTTGCACAAACAGATGTATAATTATCTGCAGTGAAATGATCAAGTGCAAATTTCTAGAGAAGAGAATCGGAAAAAGTATGCTCACAAAGGAAAATGGAAGATACCTATACATGAAAAATTTGAATAAAATGAAGAGTTCACGTTCGACTGGGAAATGGTTTATTTTATTTGTTTATTTGATTGATGTCATTATATAGGATATGGAACTGAAGATCATCCCTCCCCTCCCCCTTCCCCCTGCGGGCATCCGCGTGTAGCCCACACCACCACGAATCGTTATTAAGCCAGACTGTGATATTCCTATATATTAGTATGGTATGTATCCATTTACATACCGTAGAATGAACTCCCTTGTTTTCGATAGCAGTTTTAATTGATTGTAGAATGGCATTGTCAAACGCCTCCTCTACATCTAAAAGTTCCCCTGGAGCTACCTCCTTACACAGGATCGCACTTTCAGCTACATCCACTACTCTGTGAATAGTAAGTTCACAGGATTTTCCTGGTTGATAGCAGGCATATTAGTGTCTACTGATGGATTCGTGTCCCATCAGTACTTCATCCCTTATGTATATGTTTCTCCATTAGTTTTAGAAGAAATGATGTTAGACTGATGGGTCTAAACAACTTATGGCTTGGGCGTATGAGTCTCGACCAGGTTTCGGTATGAATACCACTTTTACGTTCTTCCACGCCATAGGTATGTATCCCAGGGCAAAACTTGGCGTTAGAATAGCGTACATAAGAGTGGAGGCTAGCAGGCCGAGGCCTTGTTGTAGTAGAGCAGGAAAGATTCCATATACATCCCTGGGGGTTTATACGGATGGAAAGTCTTCACTGCCCACCTAACTATAATTTGTTCAATTTCCTCTCAGTACCTCCTCCACGAGTCACTGTTCAAACTTGCGATTCTCTCACATTTTACCGATTTAAAGAGTTTTGAATAAAATTTTTAACACTTTAAG